CTTGTTTCAAAACAAAACTACAGAAATGGAATATTAAAGTTTATTTTTTTTTTGAATATATTAAATTTTTTTATGAGAGAATGAGGAATCAAATCCATATTCTTTAAGAATGGAGAGTTAAATACTCGAATGCGAATAATTTAAAATTTTTTAAAGCATATGACTATGTATATTTATACATTCCAAGCCTAATTTTGTTTTATGGTTTTTATATTTTAAATGTTAGGTTGATACTCCTTCTTCTGCAAACTATGGAAACGAATAGAATTGTAGCGATAGCTTTCAATTTTAAAAGTAGCGACTTCTTCTAATAGCAAAAGAATTAGAAAAGCACAAGAAAGGGAAACAAAAATGATACAAGAAATCAAGGTGAGCGTGGTAGTGACCAAATATTATCTGAAAACATGACAAGTATGTTTTTGAGTGTGTCCTATTTTTTTGACAAAATGTTACTCATTGATGAAAAAGATCTTAAAAGACTGTTGTTTGAGTTGATTTTTGTTGCATCATGTATGACTTACAACTTGCAGAATGTTGTCCAAAAAAAGAAATAAAGAAGCATGTTTTTGAATCGCTAGTGCTGAAAGTTAATATGCTTTATTTTCTGAACAACATCATGCTCATTGTTAACTACTAAACAATTTTTGTGTATTTTGTAAGAAATATTATTTGTATATATCTCAAATATTAACAACCAGAATTACATCAATGACAACATTAGAAATGGGAGTGCTAAAATAGAAAGTTATGATGATTGCATCCAAATTTAAGGTTCTTGTTCTGAATTATTAGGATTTCAAGATTACTTCTAATGTAGACATTTTGCTATTAGTTCCAAATTAGGAAGTTGTGTTATGGGTGTTTAATGATGCATGAGAACTCTTTAAACTTTAAATTATTGTTATTTATTTTTTTATTTTATACATATATATGTGTACTACTTTTAGCATAAAAAAATCTATCATTTTACTCATGTACGATAACGAATTCATTACTACATTTCTTTAAACAATCTAAAAATAATTATAATACTCAAAATTGTTAACATTAATAGACAACTTTACAATGCCACAACCTAGCTCAAGTGCTCTTTTAATTAATAATAATTTAAATGCTCATAGCAAAAGAAATCCATCTTGGTGTTTTAAACATAACATAAAATATATATTAAATTAAAACATGATTTATAACAATAAATATGTGCAAATAGTCTAATCACTTATTGTCAACCATCGTTACTAATGTCATCGGATAATAAAATCATAAATAGTCTTGATCATCATAATTTTCTATTTCAACTAAGATCATTTTTAATTGCAATATCTAATTCTATGTTATAAATGGATGATATATAACGGTAAAAAGTTTAATCACATGATAGCACATTTAGTGTTTCAAATGACTTGAAATTTAACATTAAATATATAGTTATATATGTCTTTCTTTTATTATAGATAATGATTACAATTTCAATTCATTCTATCTGATAAAATTTACAATTTGGGTATGTAATGCATAAAATCTGCCATAAATATCATTTTAATCTCCATAACTAATATGTACAAAAATTAATTTTAAAAAAAATAATTCAACAAACTGTAAAAATAGTGTAGACTAATGATACACTACAACTAAAAACAAAAGTTATTTTAAACCTTTGCAAAATGTGCTGATTACTTGTCTAAACATAAAATCACAAATTAATGCGTTCATTGTAAAATAACAAACAAGCACAAAATAATAATGAGACAAATATAGGAACATTATGTTCATAATTCATACATCATCAAACAAAAATATATAAAAAGGGGCAAAAATCACAAAATACATTAAACAAAAACAATGCAAAGTTTAAGAGGAAAAACAGTATGGCAAAGAAAGAATACCAAAATCAGAAGACAAATTTGCTACGGTTTGAATTTGAATCGTTAACAATCGAATTTCAATGCACATATTTATCTGCTTTGTACTATGTTAAGAATGGTTGCATTGTTATCAGATGGTCAAATTTTGGAAAGAACAAACATCATTCTCATAACTAAAGAAGAAGAAGTCGCACCATGGCTCTTGGATTTTGTTTGACAACTAATTTTTCCATTAACAGTGAGAAGAATTTTTTCCAATCCAAAATTTAATCATCAATGACAATACATAACATTGATATTTTAAGCCAAAAGAAAAAACAAATGTCGTACTTGAGTGCATAAAAAATAGAAAGCAACTAACAAGACTTAGCAACGGTTCAATTATAGAAATATAATGCTGTACATGAGTGCATAAAAATATATTTTTAGTGAATTTAAATTCAAACTGAAAATCATAATAACTTTCATAAGCTACTTATATAGATTTTGAGTTCAAAAAAATATAGCACATAAAAGAATAGGAAGAACAATTTCTAGTATAGACTAACACAAAAGATGAAATGCACTACAATCAACCAAAAGACAAATAAAAAACACAAAATAAATAAAAGTAATTCTTTATTGAACTTAAATTGACGATGAAAATCATAATATTTTTCATAAATAACTTGCATAGATTATGGCTTTGAAAAAATAGATCAAAAACTGCAATTGAATGTTAAAGAACTCAAAAAAAGTGTATACAAAACAATTTTTTGAAAACATATCAAGTATAACATTACAATATAACAAACCACCAAAGACAAATATGTAAAAAAAGGTAACAAAAAAAAAAACTCTATATGGTCCATAGACACTTAACATATTGTTCCAACTTCACTATAAAACAAACATGCCAAAAAATTCAAAAAGAAAGCTAACTAAATAGACATTTAAACCTGAAACTATCTAAGTAAGATATCGGAGCAAGGAAATGCATAATATACAATAAAATTCTGTCAAACAAAGCTAAACATCGAAGCCAATGATAAAATTTTTGTTAAATTTATATGTTATTCGTACAACATGAGAGAATCATAAATTTTTAATGGTGAATGATAAAAAAAGGATAAAAAAAATTCAATAAACCATAATATTTTCACAACAGAAAATAGGAAAGGCAATTAGAATTTGATAAAAACATAGACATCCATTTCTCACCAAAAATAGACTATCGATAACAGTATTAACCGATGCCATTCTTAATCTTAAACATTCTAAAAGAATTAATATGTGGTAAAAAAACTTAATATGTAAATTAAAACAATAAACAAACACCAAAGGATGTGAACATTAACACTAAAGCATATGGCTTAACAGAAGCTATAAAAATATAAAAAACATGTTTGAAAAAGGTAACGAATCAATAAAACAAACTAATTAACTCGAAAGTTAAGCATACCTAAGTAAGTAATTGATTTACTAAACTTCACTACAGAACAAAAACAAAATAGGAATTAACAACAAAACATATGAAGAAAAATATATAAAATATAAATAACTTATAAATAATAAAAAAAAATAAATCAGTTAGTTAACTCAGTATGAAAACTCTTGTCTAATGATTTCCATCCAAACCAAAAAAAAAAACCCTCTCAAATAAATACTTAAAACATAGAACACAAAATTAATTACAAAACAAATAATGAAAACAAAAATGCGACAGATAGCAAGAATACTCTAATTGATACAAATCCTACAAACAAACAGAATAAAACTGATTGAAAATAATTCCCATAATTAAATGGACGACATATATTGTTTACTCTTACAAAAAAAACCCTCAAACAAACCATAAAACCCATATTAATACAAACCTTAAGAACACAGAGAACAAAATTGATTGAAAACCAGATAACAAATAGAAAATATAACAAACAACGAAAATATCCTAAATCAATACAAACCCTGAAAAGAGAAAGAACAAAACTGATTGAAAATGACACAGTGAAAAGAAAAATCCAAAAAATGTTACAGACAAAAACACTTGAGGAAGAGGAAACGACGTTCACCTTAAAAAGATGAAGCACACAGAAACGACAAAGAAAGAGGAAGAGAGAAAGGAGAACGATCCAAAGAGAATCGAAAGGAAAATCACTTGGAAAACCAAAGCCAACATTGAAAAACCCTTCAAAGAATCAATTAAAATTCATAACAAACTGTGTAATTATCATGACAAAAAACCAATAATAGACATTGAGAAGACATCTTTAAGAAACCAAACACACAAATGATTTCAAGCCATCCATGTCAACTGGCTGTACACTCTCCATTTGTGCATTCCAAATTCCCATAAACCAAATAGTTTTACATCATTGTAGAAAAATAGAAGGAGCATGGGGTAAAAAGAAAAGAATAAGGTAAGGAGGCAAAAATCGTATGATAAGAGTGAAATGATGCGAGCATGTAGCCCGTCCAAGTTGAGCCCATGCCAAAGGCAGGCCAAGCACACAAGAACCTTCTTCAAATGGCTAGTAAAATGATGCAGGCATGCGACCCACTCAAATTATTTCCAAATGAAAGCTTGGCCAAGCACTTCAAAACACATTTCAAATGGTCACGTGTGTAACGTAAAGGTCATCAATTGTCGACCTTAAACGAGCTTGGAGATGTGGCCAATTTTGGAAACCACTTTGAGCTTCTTTTTATATATGATTATAGATATAAGAAGTATAATATTTAAAATACCTTTAAATTATTTAAAATACTTCAAGTGAACTTTTATTTTTTTATTATATTTAATCGAATCTTATATTTATATTTTAAATTAAATAGATTTTATGACTAAAAGTTAAATAATTATTTTTTATCAAAATATCACTTGTGATTTTTATACTATCTGATATTGATATAACATATTAATATGTTAGAGTGGATAGTAAAATAACATGCAAACATAAATATTTGATATTTTTCATCTTTTACGTTAATTTTACATTTAAAGTTAAGAAGCGATATTTTGACTAATGTTAAAAATTTAAAATTTATTTATTTTAAAATAAAAATATAATAAAAGAATAAAAAAATTTATTAAATTTTCTTGAATATTATAAATATAATCCATACTCTTTTCTTTTAAGGATGGAGATTATCAACAATCAACAAGCAAAATAGTCAAATGCGCATGTTTTAAAATTTTTTAAAGCATATGTATATTTATATATTCCAAGTCTAATTTTGTTTTATGATTTTTATATTTTAAACATAGGTCGATGTTCCTTCCTCTGCAAGCTGCGGGAGCAAATAGAATTGTAGCGAATTGTAGCGGTGGTTTCCAATTTTAAAAAGTAGCTGCATCTTTCTAACAGCGAAAGAATTAGAGAAGCAGAAGAAGAAAGGGAAAGAAAAATGACGGAGGAAATCAAGTTGAGCGTGGTAGTGAGCCTCTTCACTTGGATCCAGAAAAGCAAAACATCAGCCAAGAAGCGGTCCAAGTTTCGAAAATTCCTAGACACCTTTTGCAATCCTTCCGACTACTTCAGCGCCATGAGGCTTATCCTTCCGTCGCTGGACAGAGAGCGAGGCACATACGGCCTCAAGGAATCGGTGCTCGCCATCTGCCTCATTGATGCTCTTGGCATGTCCAGGGACTCCCCCGATGCTCTCCGTCTTATCAATTGGCGCAAAGGTGGTGCGAACACCGGCGCCAATGCTGGAAACTTCGCTCTTGTCGCCGCTGAGGTTCTTCAGCGTAGGCAGGGAACGGCTTCCGGTGGACTCACCATCAAGGAATTAAATGACTTGCTTGATCGCTTAGCTTCTGCTGAAGGCAGGTAATTTTCCATTTTCATTGATTCACCTAATAATAATTCGATTTTTGTGGCTCCAATTTGCTTCTTGTTTTCGCTGTTGGCTTTTTACTTCTTCCGAAGCTACTAGCAAAAATTACTATTGTGTTTGGCTAAAAATGATCCAAGAGTTCAAATGTTTCACACAGTTAAATATATTTCTTCCATATAAAACTAAAATTACTCGTGTTGTGTTATTCATGATAATAGAAACATTGAATTTCCAACAACATTAGTTTTTAATTTTATCCAAAGACATTTTCTCCCGCTTTTTCTTCAAGAATAAAAGCTTGGTAATCAATTGGAGGCTAATAATTCAAAGGTTATGTTTGTTACTCCTGCCTTCCCTCTGTTAGTAGTCCATCCAACTATTTTGAATTCATGGACAGTATAGGGCTTAAACTGGTTTGTATTTGTATACATGAGCACTTTTGGCTTCCAGAAGCAAAACACAGGTAGAAAAATGTAATTATCAAAATGTTGTGAATGCATGACGCCTATATTTCTTCTATCTCAATGTCTTTGATATCAGGGCTGAGAAGACTGCAGTCCTTTCTTCTTTGATTAATAAGACAAATGCACAGGAAATGAAGTGGATCATCATGATAATTCTAAAAGGTACTATCAATAAGCATCTTAACTCATAAATTTTTTGTTCACTGTGAAAGCTTTGATCTTTAGCTTAATTTTCTGCCAGATCTCAAGTTGGGAATTAGTGAGAAAAGCATATTTCACGAATTTCATCCAGATGCCGAAGACTTGTTTAATGTCACATGTGACCTAAAAATGGTTTGTGAGAAGTTGAGGGACCGTAGTCAACGTCATAAGCGTCAGGTGTGGTATACATGTTGAAGCAACTCTCTGAATCTCTATAAACTTCTACTGTGTAGTGAATTTTTGTAGAAGGTTGGGAACTGCCTCTATCAGGTTAAGTCTGTAATATCCAATGCATTTTAAATTTTTGTTGGCGTCTTGTGTTGCAAGGTTATGGTATCAGTTGAGGAGCTTTCTGTTCTGATGAAGCTTTTTGTTTCCCTTTTCTTTGTCTCTTTAATTGCTTCTTTATTTTCTCATTCCTTCTCACTCTTCTTCTTTCCTTAAGCTTCCTCATATATTCTTTTTCTCATTAACTTTGCTCTCACAAGTTTGAAAGAAAATCTTAAAGCCAGATCCCTTTGGATAGTTTCGTAGCTAATAAAACGGAAGTTGTTTTGCTGATGTTGTGGCTTCTCATTCACCATTTTTTTGTTAGATTCCTTTTACTGATTTAAACCAACACTTGTGCACCTTGTGGATTTTGGACCAAACTCATGGCATTATTGCAAATTTCTGAGCTTGTTGTGGTTGAGTTTTGAAAGACAGTGAATAGAGAGCTTGAATCTCCAAAATTCGTTTTGTGAGGACTTTGAATGAATGTTTGGTCTTATATAAAGTGACCAGTGTGGACTTAGTTTTTGGTGAGCTTACCATTTGCAGTTGTCCTTGCCACAATTTGTTATCTGAATATAAGTGATTCTTTCTATGGTTTTATTTAGAGATCAAAGGTTGATGTTCTATGATGTGATTTGTAGCTTAAGGTTGGTGAATATTGGGATGTATATCGATGCTATTACACATGGAGCACTGGTACTGTATCGCCTCTGAAATGTGGTCTCTCTCTACTGGATTGTGGTGGGTTTTCTTTTGCTGCAACGTGTGAATGAGTTTTTTTGTCTTTATACTTGGGCCGAAGGGCCTGGCATGGCTAGGTTAGTAGTGAAGAGAGGATGATTGTGGCTGGTGAAGAAAGAAGAGAGTGGTGGTGGAGAGGAAGATGGACAGAGGGGCACTGAGGTTGAGAGATGAGATGTTTTGCTCATTCGTTCTGTTATTGCCTTCTTTTATTTTGTTTTCCCAATTCATTTCCTATTCCTTAATCACTTTCCTCTGCCCTTTCTCCTTTTGTTTGGAATTAATTTTTACACTGCATGGTAGCATTTTGTTTTCTTTATTTCAATTACTCATATATAGGCATCTCATTAAATTTAAATGTGGTAATAATTCTCTTGCAAATATTATAGAAGGTTACTTTATTTTAGAAATAGAATTTTAGGGGTCAATTACAGCCAAATAAAAATTTATGGCTCAATGGAATAGAATAGAAGTAGAAGGGCTTAATTCCACAATTTAGATCATTATAAAGGTTTTTTTTTTCCCTCCTCTTTTAGAAGGGCACATAGGAGCAAGGAAAAGTGGCACCTGCATGTGCTGTAAGAGCATTTTGAAATCACATATCCTAGTATGTATTTAAGAAGGAAATTAAATGTTACCAAAAATGACATCTTGAATGGGAAAATGTATCATTTTCAAACTCATGGTAAAGTCATAACTAGGCTCTATTGAGCATGGGGGAATTTTTTCTAATTAACACAACAAACTATTAATATTATGTATTTGTTTTGGTGACAATACCCTTTTTGCAGGATATTGAGGTTGGAAAGGCAGTGCGACCACAACTAGCTATGAGAGTCCGTGATGCAGCTGCTGCATGGAAAAAGGTTTGATTTAGCATAGTTGGCTTGTGTTTCAAGAAGTGATAGCTCATCTTTGTCTCAAATATTGGGAATTTTTTTGGAGTAATAATAGCCATTATGATTTTATTCATGATGACATCATAATACAAGCTTGTTTAAGATTATTGTTACTGTTAGTTTCTATATGATTCTATTTATTGATTTCTCTGATCATACTTTTCCATTTTTCATTTTAAATATTTATCTATCTTAGTGAATAATTTTTAGTTCTCGTCACCTTTCATAGCTTCATGGTAAGGAGGTAGTTGTTGAGTGTAAATTTGATGGTGATCGCATCCAAATCCACAAAAATGGAACCGAGATACACTACTACTCCAGGTGGGTATATGTTCAAGGAACTTGGTTACACCTTCTTTATTTTTCTCCTATCTCGTATTATTATCTAAAAATTTTGAGGTTTGTATGACTGAAGTATAGCATACCTTTTTTGGTAATTGCACCTCCCCTCAAGAGTGAAGATCTCATCTTCATATCTCTGCTTCCTAAAACTATCAAAGTAGGAAAAGAGTGAGAAAAAAAAAAGAAAAATAAAATGGTTGTTCATCTAGTAATTCCCTCCAGAAAAAAGTGGTTTTCTGTTTTTATGAATTTATGTGAAGAAAGGAATATTCAGTAGCTTGCTTAGCACAAGCATTTTGTAAACTCTACAAATTTTCTTGTCTCTCTCTCAACAGGAATTTTCTTGATCACTCTGAATATGAGCATGGGATGTCTAACATTATTGCACAAAATATTCTGGTTGATAGGTAAGCATTTGCTAGTTTTGTTATAGTAAAACTTGTATTATTTCAGAAGAATTTGTCGTTCACTTGCATTGTATTTTTCTTTCCGACAAACTCCAGTTTAGGCTTCCCCTCTTCATGCTTCTTCGGCTATAGATTCTAGCATACATGATAGTTTATTTTTCCTTGTTTCTTTTATCTAAAGAATAGACCAACTTTATTTGAGTTATCTATGCTAGTACATAAGGGTAAAGTAATCATTTGATTGCTGGAACTCAAAACATATTTCTTCTTGAAAACAAAAAAATCCTCGTATACCCCTTGCACGGTGGAACTCCAATGATAGAACAAGGTTTTTGGAGTCTTTCATCTCACCTACAAGACATTAGTTCATTTGTATTCTAGGGTTCTTCTATTCTCTCCATCTCCATAATCCATTTTATATCCCATTGTAAGAAGTTTTAACCTTGCTGAAAGAAAAATAGCAAAAGGACATAGGAAACTTATGAGACTGTGGATGATGAGGCAAAGGACATAGCAAACTTATGCGACTATGGATGATGAGGCATTTTTAATGCAAAGAGAACCAAAAAGTACATGTCAAATGAACAGCTAGATAATCAATTTTATGGAGCTGACAGGATCTGTGCTATATGTGAAGGACACCTAGGATTGGCAGCCAAAACCTTCCCTTATAGATGTTTCATTCTCACCAAGATCAAGTTTCAGGCTAGGTTTTTCCAGGAGAAAATCCATTGGAACTGAGCAGATGATGAGAGGTCTTGGAATTTTCTGCAATAATTTCTATATTGAAGGATTGATGAAGTTTTGTGTGCTATTGTCGATTGTATGGCCAAGTTGCTATCCAGAAAGGTACAAGAGTGAGACACAACCCTATAAATTGCATCCTAAAGTCTTCTGGAACTGAAATATTACTGTGCTTTATGAGGACATTTTATTGTAGCTGTTCAAGCAAAAGTCAAATCCAAATGGCCACTTGACTCTTCTGGTTGCTGTAGATTTGTATACCCATTTAGCATGATTCCCAATCTATAATAACATCAAGTCTGACATTAAGCAAGTCCTGAAACAGAAAGGAACTACAATCCACTCTTCAAGATTCAATGTAGATAGAGAGCCTACTGAGTAGTGAAACTGATTCTATCTGAAGATAGCTCAAGTTTCAAGATGATAGTTTGGTTATTTTGCTTCAGAAAACTGCATATGACATGGCCTTTTGCTGACTTATGAATATCAATCCTCTAACTCCAAAGGAGAGTCGTTATAATGATAAGATTATAGCTTTTTTGCAAGCTATTAAGGAACTGTATTAGAAATAGCCATATCACTGAACCTAAGTTTTTCCTCATTGCTAATGTTGCCCTCCAAGTCGAGAACTGTTGCTTGTGACCAATAGAGGCATGAATGGTTTAAATGCACTGCAAATGTTCTTATTCCTTTTTATACTTTTAAGGCTTTGTGGCATCAATAAATTGTGATGCTGCAACTTGGTATGGTCAAAGCGGCAACTGCTTCCAGAAAGAAAAAGGCCTTTTCCTCCCCACCGCCCTTTTTTAAAAAGTAAAAAATTAAAAATTGAGATCCTTAAGATACCTTCATTTACGTGAAATGTTCCCCTTGTTGCAACTTTCTCTTTCTCAAAGACTCAAACTTTTCGAAGAAGCTTTTTATTAATTTTCTGTAAGTTCTCATCTTTTAGGACAATTGGAAGTTGCATACTTATTTGTTTTTAGGATGGTATTGTTTTGAAAGTTTAAGGAAGCCACTATAACCTTTTCTTCTTGTTAACCTTCCTTCTCATAGAAGGCCAATGCTTGGTTATCTTTTCTTCAAGTTAGATGTGTCTTGTGGTCCCTTAAGTTGCCTCCCTTCATTCTCATTCTCCATTTTTGAAGAATCTTGCCTTTCAGATTCTTTTGTGCTGAATAATGCAATAGATGGTTCATTTTGATGGGGTAATTGGGTGAATCCTATGATCTAATCGTACTGGTCAAAGTCAAAGGAAAGATAAGGTATTTCAGAAACCTTACAGATTTCTTCTGGAATAAATGATTCTGGAAGTATTAGCATACTGGCAAATGTTTGAGTCTCATAAATCCTATAAGTTCCCTTTCTTTCATTTGCCATTTCCTAGGAATTATTTCTGCTCTCTAGCTTGTTGTATGCCGAATAATGTGGTATATTATTCATGCCGATGGGGTAGTGCTCCTGTGATCTAATCTTCCTATTCAAAAACAAAGGGGAAAAAAAGAGTATAGTACTTTTCCAGGCAATATATCTATCGGTGCCTTTTGAAAGGGTGAGATTCAGTTTTATCAACAAATCCTTAAAGAGAACCATTTCTGTTTACAAAACTGTGATAAATCTTTTAATTTAAATTCACGAAATCTCGAAAGGGTTCGATTTACATATTACTCTAGGCTTCCTTTCAATGATGCAATACAATGTTTTCCCAGATTTAGAAGGGGGTTTCCATGCATGCTATGCCCTAATGCATGTGGGACATTTCTGATGTGCATTAACCTTTTTCCCTTGGAATGCTTTATATAGGTGCATACTTGATGGAGAAATGTTAGTTTGGGATACCACTTTGAATCGGTTTGCTGAGTTTGGATCAAATCAAGAAATAGGTTCTTATGCTTTTTTATTCGTATCCTCATATTTGTTTTTGCTTTTCTTTTCATTTTGCTACCTCTGTATGTTGCAGACTTTATCATTATTAATGCCTTTATGACAATTATTATTTGTTGTTGACAGCCAAGGCAGCAAAAGATGGACTTGACAGTGACAGACAGGTTTTATGTTGTAGAGAACTTGTTTTTCTTATTCCTAATTACTATTGTAGGAAAATTTTCTTGAAGTTTCATGTATATCTTATTTTTTCTTTTCTCTTTCTTTGGTGCAGTTATGCTGTATCCTTTCATGTTTGACTTGAAATTAGTTTCAGATCTTGCTTTGAAATCAGTTGATATTGTTACATGGGCTCAAAATAAATTTACTGACCTTTGTATTTGGACATGCAAGCTTTTAAAATGACCTTGACTTGCTATGGGCTAGATGTTGCATTTGATATTCTTTATGTTGGAGACACTAGTGTCATTCATCAGAGCTTGAAGGAACGGCATGAACTTCTTCAAAAGGTTGTGAAGCCTTTGAAGGGTCGTTTAGAGATTTTAGTGCCTTATGGTGGTATTAATGCTCATCGCCCTCCTGGTAAAGAATACTGATATTTCAATTTCCTAGTATTTATGTTCATGTTGCATAGCTACCATATCATCAACGATAATGAGAATTGAGTACACTCTTTTCCCATACTGGGCATTACAAATCTTTTGTTCGTCAATTTGGCCCTGATTATTTATGCAAATGCAATTTTTTCTTAAGAAGTTTTTTGATTTGGGGAAAGGGATTTGAACTGCTCTTTGAGCAGGGGAAAACATGCTCTTACAATTGAGTCAAATGCTTGGGTGCATATTTCTCATGAACATAATTGTAGAATCTGGCCTGCCAAAATTTATAATTTTGTCCCCTTTACATAATTAGCAAGGACTTCATTTGTGTCATGTTTTAAGGCTAGAACCATGATGATAGATGTGAGTTAGTTCATATTTGTTAATTAACATGAAATATTATTGTGTGTGGAAAGGGGGTGTGGGGTGGGGGAGGGAGGGGAATGATAAGAGGCTTGTGTTGGCATTGTTTCTGGCTGCTGTGTCTCAGCTAAAAGCAATCATTAGAGAATAATACTTGTACAGGTGTATGCCTGGTTATATTATGTTCTTTAATCCCGTTAATTCCAATTCATTTTGGAGAAATTTCTAACAGCTTGCAGCTACTGCTGTTAGTAAAACTAAGTTTTTGGTTCACTTGCAGAACCAAGCAGTAGTGTGCTCTCTGGGAAAGAAAAAGGGGGAGGGAGCAGGGGATTAGTGTCACCGTGTTGGGGAAGTTGGAGGGGAGTAGAGTTCTTTATTGCCAATCTCTAGTCACTTAGTTAACAAATGCAAATGCAATTGGAATGTTAATGACCAAAATGGTTCAGTTGGCTCTGTTTTACTTCCTCTGTGAAATCTGGAAACTTCAACAAATGCAAATGCAATTGGAATGTTAATGACCAATGGTACAGTTGGTTCTGTTTTACTTCTCTGTGAAATCTTGAAACTTCATTTCTAACTGTTTTAGTCTTAATCTGATGTTTATTTGCTGTCTTAACCTACTGCAATTGTGGGCCATTATTTATGTACTCAATGTCCTCAACATACTGTTTGGTGAATATTGTATAGCTTTAGGGGTTTTCCCATGACTACCTGATTTGTGTGTAATATTTTCTACTTATGAGAAGAGCAGCAATCATTCCTATGCTCATCATGCAGGGGAGCCCTGTTGGTCATGTCTTGCATACAGTGTGGATGATGTGGAAAGATTTTTCAAAGAAACGATTGAAAATAGGTCAGTCTTTTTCAGAAGCTTTTGATGTGTATGTACGAATATACATACATACACACATCTTATATATATATATATATATATATATAGATATATATATATATATATATATGAGAATCAATGTGATTCTTACTTGTCTGATAATTAAATATTTTATTTAATATATAATTTCATAATATTAATTAGTTTTTTATAAAATTATATTATTAAATATTAAATTATTTGATATTTGATATTTAATATTTATATTATTCATATTTTATGTATTTATAATGATATTATTTAAATAATATTAAATTGTGATAGGATTAAATAGTAACACTTAATATCATTATTAGATAATATTAAATAATATTTTCATTTGAATTATATAAAATTAACTTGTTTAAGTAAAATGAAATGAACATTTTGAAAACAGAACACAAAAAAGTTAAAGAGAAAGCGATCCTAAATACACACTAGTTTTTCAAATAGCTTCAAATATGCATTTGGTGTTTTAAATAATTTACATGTTCTATCTATAATTAATTATGTTGTCTCATCCATCCTTATTATTATATTTTGATTCTGATATGTTCTACTGCTTCTTTTCATCTTAGGGATGAAGGTATTGTGTTAAAAGACCTTGGTTCCAAATGGGAACCAAGTGATAGAAGTGGGAAGTGGTTGAAGTTAAAGCCTGAGTACATTCGTGCTGGTTCTGATTTAGATGTTCTCATTATTGGTCTGAAATATTTCTCTTTATGTTTTTGTTTCCTTTCTTGCCATCTAATGCATTTATTTCAAGACCATTAGCAATTTCTCACATGCATATCACAGTAATCATTTTTGGTTTTAGGAGGATATTATGGCTCTGGACGTCGAGGAGGGGAGGTTAGCTTTTTCATCCTTTTTCCTTATTCATTTTTTCTTTTCCATACTTATTTAGTTGGTAATTTTGCAGGTAGCTCAATTCTTGGTCGGCTTAGCAGATCGTCCAGACCCGAATGCTTATCCCAGGCGGTAGTATTTAGCTGCTTCCTCACCTCTATGCTCCATCTGTTCACCATTGGTTAAATTAGTGAAATACATACATATATACTGTCTTCTGCATGATCATATAAGCCTGTATGATTGCATATTGTTACTTTTAATTTTAATGTTATATATTATGGTCCAGCCTTGAGCTATACAACAAGTATTAGCTCTTTGCCATCTATGTAAGCCCGCACTCCTGTATGTTTGAACCTGAGACCTGAAAATCTTTTGTTCTAAGCATTGAGGTGTGACTTCAGATGTTTATTCCCTTCTTCACCTGGATGCTCCCTCTTGGTTCCTGTGAGCTGGGCCTCAAATGCTCAGAGGGCCAGTGTATAGCCTTTCACTTTCAGCTGAATGAACCTTTATGAGGTGAATACTTTGGCATATGCATGAGACACTCGATGGGCGACTTGTAAGTTGAATGGACTCTCTCTAAGACCAATTCATGCGGAAAATGATTAGTTCTGTATGCCTTGGAGGAAGAAAATGATTTCTTTTAATTTTTAAATATTTGAAACATTTTTCCAGAGGTAAGTAGGCTCAAATAACGGTTATGTCACTTCAATAGGATTTAGCTAAGTAGGATGTTGTGCCTAAGTGGACACCCTGATAGTTAAAATTTGAGACATCAACTAGGAGGTTTTAGGTTTAAAACTTGGGTGGGGAGAATGGGGTTTTATGAAATGGGAGAGAGCTACCACCCATTTTTGTAGCTTAACTGCTATGGTCTTTCACATGTACCATAAAAGGAAACACCAGTATTAGGATGTTATCTATTAAACAATCTGAACATCAATTATCATAATGATACCTTATTTCAGTTATTTAATTTAGTTATTCTCGATTGATATGAATTTTTAATATGAATTACAAAGTGGAATTTATAAAACTAGAATTTATGAATATAGCTGTTTATTCAATGCAATATTGCTAGAAAATAACAAATATTCTTTTTAATAATTTTATAATTCAAAGGAAGTTTGTAAGTTGGTCCTCATCAATTGACCATGCCATTATCTTGAGTAACCCTAGACTAGACTAAACTCAAATAAATCTGCATCAAGGCTTCAGCTGTTGTTAACAGTGACAATTAAATCCTTCTTGATATTTATAGTGTTTTTCCATGCAATATTTAAAAAAACCTGAATAATCATAAGAGAGGTTTGTTCACTAGGCATAATCTGCTAACTATCTAATCATGTCCTTTTGTTGCAGATTTGTATCCTTCTGCAGAGTTGGTACTGGGCTGGCTGATGATGACTTGGAAGCTGTTGTAAACAAATTGAAGCCTTATTTTAGGTACTTTTCTGGTAAACTAGATCTTAGGAGAAGATGGTTGCTTTCATTGTTGAATAAGCTGTATTTAATAGCCATGGAAGTGACAAAATAGCTTTTGCAGTGAGTGTTACTACCAGTCACTGGCGTTATGACCTTAGGAAACAAAAATCAACTTTGTTAATAATGTTTACTACTTAAAATTGCTTTGTTTATTGCTCAGTGTGGCCTTGAGTATCGTGTATCCAGCTGATTAAATTCAGGATAGACACATGAATGCATGGACATACATATTGATGAGAGTATGCTTGAATCAAACAACCAGAGATGAATTCCTTGACTATGTCACAATCTGGAAAAAGACATACTCTTAACTGAGAATCACTTAGGTTGTTCCCTCTTTTTTTTCCAAATCTGGGGTGACTTATCTATATGATTTACTTACCTGTTATGTTGTCTCAGGAAATATGAATACCCAAAGAAGATGCAACCAAGTTTTTATCAAGTTACAAATAACTCAAAAGAGAGACCTGATGTTTGGATTGAAAGCCCGGAGAAGTTCGCATTTCTTTATTGTGCTCTTATGGTGGGAAAATTTGTTGGTTTTTAGTAGCAATGTTTAGTCTTATGTTTTTCTTTATGTTCTATTTCTTGTTGCAGATCAATCATTCTTTCTATCAACAGTGATATCCGGACCATAAGGTCTGAGGTGTGTCTTTATAGCTATTATTATTTAATTCATATTTTGCACAAGCAACAGAAGTGAAATATAATTCTAGTTCTAGGTCTTTTCTTTTTTACTTGTTTCATTTTGTTGTTTTGCACCTTTTCTCTTGCATATGTTTATTTATGTTTTGTTTGATTTTTTCAGGTATTTGCTGCACCATATAGCCTGAGATTTCCACGTATCGATAGAGTGAGATATGACAAGCCTTGGCATGAGTGCCTTGACGTGCAATGTAAAAGTTTATATAATATTGTTGCATCATTAATGAATTTCTGCTATTGAGGCTAATAATATGTCCTTTTTTGTAAATTACTTTTTTGGTTTCAGCATTTGTAGAACTTGTTCATTCAAGTAATGGTACCACTCAGAAAGGGACAGTACAGGAAGACGTGCAAGATGGTAAATCAAGGCACAAGGACCACACTAGAAAGGCAGAGAAAAGGGCTGTCTCTATTGTTCCTTCTCATTTTATTCAAACTGACACATCTAGCGTGAAGGGGGAAACCTTAATATTTTCAAATCTCATGTTTTGTATCCTTCAATAGGATTGCTTAGTTAGGTGATTCATTATCTTCTATCTCCTCTGTGTGTGTGTATATGTGTGTTTATTTGGTTGTGTGCATGTGTGTCTCTTACTCTCTTCCTCCTTCCTTTTTCTACAAATTTCTTCTCTCCTTCACTTCCCCAACTTTTCAAGATTCTGCTTCCTTAGCAAACTTATATAAGCAAATAATGATTGGATTTTCTTATGCATTTCCTTACAAAAATGATGGTCTTATTAGGTGCTGATAACTTTGATATACCACCTGACATTATACTCACATGGTGTACTGCAAAATCCACCCTTTAAAGTTTTATTATATAACTTGCCTTGACATGTACAGACTTTGTTAATGTTCCTCCAACCTATTCTCTTGATTCATTTCACAAAATGATTGTGGAGCATGGGGGAATGTTCTCAATGAATTTGAACAAGTCAGTGACCCATTGTGTTGCGGCTGAAAGCAAAGGTCTATTTTTCTCTCTCTCCCTCTCTCTCTCTCACAGACACATGCTCACTGACACCCACACGCAACCATGTCCGCATGTGTGCTTACACACGCACACAAGCAGCATGAATGTGAGCGTTGAAGCTTCTGTGCACCCACAATATTTCTAGGTGGAATAATAGAGTTAACAAGAAAATATGTCAGGGATTAAGTATCAGGCAGCAAAGCTTCATGGAGAAATTATCCATTACTCTTGGGTCTTGGATTGTTGCTCACAAAAGATGCTCATTCCTTTACAGCCAAAGTAAGGCTTAGTTTCATGAAATGATCACCCTCTTCCTTCTCCTCTTCTCTCTTTTCTTCTTTTCAGCCAAAATGCCTTTGACTGTATGGTTTCTTTTAAAGGTACTTTCTTTTTCTTTCTGAATCATCAAAAAAGAAGTTACAGCAAGAAGTTGATGAATATTCTGACCCTTATTATTGGGACCTTGACGTTGCGGATATCAAACAGGTATATTTATATTCCAGTACTTCATTTCTATTTATATCTATTTGGATATTGTTTCATTAACTATCACTAGGTTGACAGCCATAGGAAAACAAGAAATTAAGAAATGCATTTTTAATGATAACTGCTAATGTTGCTTTTCAAATATTTGGTGTTCGAACTGCTATATTTTTATGGAGCAAACTTTTGATGAAAGATGTGATTACTATTCCATTTTTCATTTTTCAGCTCTTAAACAATATCCAAAGGTCAGAAAATGCCAACACGATTGACTTTTATAGAAAGAAGTACTGTCCAAAGAAGAGATGGTCAAGTTTTCATGGCTGCTCTGTTTACTTTTACTGTTCAGCTCAGTCTTTGTGAGATATATTGCCATCATGATTTCACATTTATCTTGTTTGTCTGTCTTTATTTATTGAATCTCTTTAATAGGTGTTTTAGATCATTACTATCCAGTTGGTTGTCTATTTCCTTTCTCATAGCTGTAGCTAACCAATTTATATAGGAAAGCTGATTGGCAAGTCTTGTTGAGACTTACACTGAGGAGGTTAAAGCTTGAAGTTTTAATGGGTGGTGGCAAAATCTGCAAGGATCTCAAGCATGCTACCCATTTGGTAGTCCTATCAGTGCCAGGATTGGATGTTGACTTTGATTCTCTTATTAAGAGGTAATGTATGGCTAATACAATTTTGTATTTGATGATTAATGCCATTTGGTGCCTCATAGTGAGGTTTTCTGACTAGTTTATGGATATTGGATCCTCCTGGTCACAGCAATATGTTATACCTCCGTAAGAAAAAATAGTTATTGGAATATATTGGAACTAAATTATGAAATTCAAGAGCAATTATTTTGTTTGGTTTTTTTCCCTTTTGGGTGATATTAGCATCAGCAATTTGTATCATAATGTGGCATGATCTCATTGACAAATGAATTAGCGTGAAATGATAGGGTACTCACCCACATCGTGATTGAGGACCATAATCTATATTTTGGATGAACACTTGTAGACTAAAATTTAGAAAATAGGGTCTCTGTTATTTAGACTTCTTTATTGGACTCCATTTTATATGTTATGTGGACTTCATTTTAATTTTATGAAGCTCATATAAGTAGGTGTTTGTATAACATTTGAGGAGGGGTAGCTTTTGCTAATTTGTGATATTGAGATTTGTAATTTGAATATTAAAACTTCACTTTTGGGTTTTGACTATTGAAATTTCATATTATTTTTTGAGTATTTATTTTGAAATTATTGGTTTTAAATCACTTTGTTGTTTCAAAATTTTTATTTTTCCAGTTTTGAGATTCAGGAGGTATTTTCATTTATCAGGATTGGGCTTCAATTTGTTGAATCTAATTGCAACTTTGTTACTTTGATATTGTCTGTACATGGTTCTCACCATGAGTCATTGTACTTAAATAACTTAGGATAATAAATGGTTCATTGATCATGTTATTTTTTAATCAGTTGAGATATTCCAATTTGTCTTATGATTGCCATTAATTGGTTATTTTCTTTATAATAGTATTCTCTTTGCCTATTTGCTTAGCTTTTCTTCTGGCTTAATTTTGTTGAGTTCATTTCAAACTTTAGTGTGATTAAGTTATTATTATTATTTTTAGGTGGATAGGATTTGATTTAGAAAAAAAATGCATGAGAAGGATTTTTAAGGGTAGTCTTATGTTCTTTGTTCATTATAAGATTCAGGAGTGTTATTCATTTATCAAAATTAGACTCTAATTTGTCAAATTTACTTGCGCTTTCTATTACTTACAGTTTTTAAACACTGCATGGTTTACTCCTTAATTCATCATACTGGGGCAGCATATAAATAGCAAATGGGTTATTGATTGTGCTGAATTCGAATCAATTGAGTATAATGTTTTGGCTTATGACTCCCACAATTTGTTTATTTTCCTTTTCAACGGTCTCTACTTTGTTTTCAAACCTTGTTTAGTACTGTAGTTTCATTTGAATGAGTTCGTTTAGAAACTTTAGTGTAATGACTATTGAATTATGGATTTTAGAGTGGCAAGCCTGACTCATACCTGAACCACCCATACAATACCAAGCTTATAACTCTATACAAATTGATTTAAAAGGCCTACCTGAGCCTGAACCTCATTGTCAACTACAAGAGGCACTTGAACCATCCAGATCCTAAGCAAACTAGACTTTAGGTGACCCAATGTAGACCTGACAAGAGCTGCTTGTGTGGCACCTTCAATGAGTCTGAGAATGATGTCTTCCAAATACAGTTAGACCAAATTTGGATGGGTCATTTTAGAAGGCATTTCATTTTAAAAGAGGGTTTTAGATTTTGAGAATTGAATTGCCTTATTCAGGCAAAAGATGAGGGAGAATTCTAAAATGTTCGTAGGATTTTAAACTTGTGTTTTAGAGACCTAAAATACGTGATTCATTTTGAGTTTGAATTACACAGATGCTTCATTCTTAATGCTGCACACCAAATAGTATGATAGAGAAACACTCCCTTCACTGGATTCTGACCTCCCAAGTACCTCTCCTGTCAGCAACCTTGTCCTTGAATGATAACTGGTGTCTTCCTCTCACTGTGGCAACTTCAACCGATATCCAATTTGTATATTTCTCTGTTTCCAGTGATTTTCCTAGCAAAATCACTTAGTCTTATGTCTGGTGTGTCTCTTTCCTACTCTACCTGTCATCTTTCTCTTTACCTTTCTTTTCTTACAGACTTGCATCTTAAGCGTGGGAATTTTAATTGTGTTTTTTCTTGATTTTGTGGAGAATATGATGGTTTATTTTTGGTCTTGGTTTGAGGATTTGAATGTGGGGGTAAGGTTCACAGATACCATGAGAGAGGATGATTGTTGGATGTTTGGTGGTTTAGAATTTGTTTTAATCAACATCATTTCAGAAGACCATAAGGCGGAATTCTATTTGGAAGAAATAGCAGCCAAAGAAACAATTTACCATTCTAGAATTTGCAAATACTGTACTTTGAATTGACTTCATTTAAAATTCTACGGTGCTTCATCTGAACACA